AGAGAATGATGTGAAAGTAAGCACTGTTTGTCAGGTTTAAGGTTTAATCTGTCTTAGGGCTGCACCTTTAAAGCAATGCTTATGCTCATATGATGTCCTGGTGGATGGTTGTCCTGGACCCAGCTGTGGCACTGGCAGTGCCTGATGATTATCTGAGGTACCAAAAATTCCATATGGCATTGAAGTGTTCTGACTCATTTGTAGACCATGTGACTATGGATGGTAGCTAATTAGCTGTTACAGTTCACTTACAGCACCACAGTTATTTAACTGCAAGTTGGAGATGATAGTTGTGTTTATTTGTGGTGAGCTGGCAATTCAGCACACCTCTAAAATCATGTGAGGAGGTTAACTTAGTGATGGGATGCTGACTTGTTGGCCATTCAATATGTTGGATTTGACTGTTTCCTTTGTCCCTGTTTTGAATGTGTCACTCTGTCGGTGTCGGAACGATGTGAACGTCTCAGCATTTGGGTCAATCTCTACTGATTTGCCAACACTTGGGATGAAACCGTCAGACCACTGTGTCGCAAGATCCGTCTGTATGGACCTAGAAACAATATACGGGCCTTCCGCTGTTGCCAACACCGGCGCCCACCTCACACATTGGTCCCTGGCCAAATAAGCCGCCACAGGTCATCCGTTCTGTCAGCTCCCACGCCCTTGGGTCATGTCCTCGCGCCGCTGCTGCCTTGTGCTGGGTGGCCACGTGGCGCTCCAGCTCGCTGGTGGCCACCCTTGGTCGCTGCTGCCCTGTGCTGGGTGGCCATGTGGCACCTCAGCTCGCTGCTGGCCACCCTGGGCCGTCACCAAACCAGCCGAACTAACCCCGGCCTCCGATGCCCTCAGCGATGCGTGTCGCCGTCTGCGATGTAATCGGGTGCTCCAACATGGTGGAGGCGGCGCACCTGTTCCGCTTCCCGCCCATCTCGCGTGCACGACCGCGCGTGCGCTGGTGGCAGGCGCTCTACGGCCGGGTCAACTTCAAGCTGACGGCCACCTCGGCGCCGCTGCTGGCCGTGTGCGCCCGGCACTTCTCACAGCCGCAGCTCGCCTTCCCGCTGCCCAACTGCAAGCTGCCGGAGCGCAAGGAGTCGCCGGTGCCCGTGCCCACCGAGCTGCTGCGCGAGAAGGACTCGGACCCGCGGCTCGTGCGCACTTACTCGCGCAAGACGACCGGTGACGGTGCATCCCAGCGCTACAAGCCGATCGCGCCGGCCGCGCCGCCGCCACTGCCGCTGCCGCAGCCACAGCCGCAATCGCAGCCGCAGCCACAGCCGCAACCACAGCAACGCTGGACGAGCGTGCCGGCGGCGGCGGCTGCCGCGCCCGCCGCCACCGTACTCAACCAGCTTGTGACATCTGCCGGAGCCGGTTCGCAGTCGCGCTTCCAGATTGTGCCGGCCGGCGGAACCACCGTCGGCGTGCAGCCCACCCAGACGTTCCAGGTGGTGCCAGGAAACGCGCCGCAGCAGCTGTCGCTGGCCGGCGCCGGCACCAACGGCGTGATTCAGCTGATGCCATCGGCCGGCGGCCGCGTGGCGCCGCACGGTTCGCAATTCCAGTTGGTAACCACGTCCGGGCCGGGCCAGACAGCGTCGCCGGGCACCGCGCCGTACCGGCTGATCCAGGCTAATGCTGGCGCGCCGCTGCTGGCCCCCAGTGCACCCTCCGTCGGCTCGCCAGCCTCTCAGTTCCAGCTGGTGCCCACGTCCGGCGGTCAGCTGCTACTCATGCCATCGCAGCCGACCGTCACGCAGGTGGGCGGCCTTCAGCCCAGCCTGCCACTGGTAGTAGTCAACTCCAACGGCCAGCAGCCGACGGCGTCCGCGCCGCGGCCGCCGGCGCCACGCCTGCCACTGCCCCGGCTGCCCCTGCCGCCGCTGCCGCCGACGCCGCCGCGGCCCTCGGCCGGCGCAGGGACGCGGCGCGGCCGCGGCCGTAGTCACAGTCACGATACGGTCATGGTCGCGCGGCGGTGCGCCACAGCCCGGGCCCACACTGGCCATCTCTAGCGTGAAGACGCTCACGCCGCCGGTGGCCACCGTCGACGTCGCCGACGATGACGACGTGGAGGTGATCGACGTGGCGTTCGGGCTGCCCGAGAGCGACGGCAGTGGGGTGCAAGTCGGCGCCGCCGCCGCCGCCACGAAACACGAGGTCATAGAGGTGCCCGGCGACGAGTCGGGGGAGGAGACGGAAATGGCGGCGGGGGCGAACACGGCCGATCTTGATCGGACCGAAGACCTCTGCCAGGTGGACGTCGGGCACGGCAGCTTGGAGGTGCCTGCCGATGAGCCGGAAGCGGACGCCGGTCTCGCCGCCTCCGGCCGCGCCAGCGGTCAGCCGCCGCCTGACGCCACGGAGGAGACGGCGCCGCCCGTGTCCCGCCCACCCGAGCCGCGTCCAGTGAAGCTGGAGCCGGCCGAGGCGACGGCGCGCCGACCGGCCGGACCGTGGAGCCGGCGCCGCCGCGCCCCTCGCCGTCCATGATCCGGCTGAAGCCCCTGAGCGAGCTGACGACAACGGCGGCGGCGGCCGCGCCGCAGGAGGAGACGCCGCCGCCGCGGGTGCCCACCCCGCCCGGCATCAACCTCGGCAACGGGCTGACACAGCTGAGTGAGGTCGACCTGATGCTGCGCTCGCTGGACGCGCGCCGGCGCCGCGAACAGCTCCAGTCTCACGAGGAGCCGCCGGCCAAGCGGCCGCCCGGCGGACGGCGGCGCGGCGCACGCCGTCCAGATCCTGCCGGGAAACACGTACCTGGTGGACGCGGCGCCGGCGGCGCCGCAGCCGCCGCCCGTCTCCTCCGTGTCGGTGGACCGGCTGCCCGGCCTGGGCGGCGCCCAGCGCCCTGCTCCCGTTAGACGGTACGTCGGACCAGATTGGCCCCTTCCGAGCCGTCTGACATTGGTGACAGTTCGCTAGGCATCGCTGTCACGAGAGTGCCAGCGAATGTGCTTTTTCTCGTGGTCGATGGGAGTCAGTTGTGTTCTTTTGGCCCAAAACTTGTGCACGTTATAACTCATCACCGCGTCACACACGCGCCACTGACTCAACACCAAGCATTATCAACTGCGTCTGATTGTCATCAGTTGTCAATGGAATGTGCACCACATCCCCACATCTGTACCCGGCAACGTCTCTTATCGGATATCCCCAAGGCTTGTGTTTGCCACCAGCTGGTGGTGGGGTTGTGATGCCGGCCCGGTGGTGGTGATGTGACGCCGGCCCGATGGCGTATGGTGACGCCGGCCCGGTGGTATGGTGTGACGCCGGCCCGTGTGGTGGTGTGACGCCGGCTCGGTAACGTGTGTATTACGCTGGCCCGATGGTGGTGTGTACGCGGCCGTGGGTGGTGACGCCGGCCCGTGGTGGTGGTGTGACGCCGGCCCGGAGTGTGTATGCGCGGCCCGTGGTGGT